TATTCATACAGAAAAGAAAATTAGTACTACTAGGTAATAAACTGCTCTCTCACAAATGTTTTAACATGGCCAAAGACCCACTGAACCTGCTAGCACATGGAAATTATACCAGCCAGATTCTGTGTTCATTCATGTGTAGCTTTTCCAGCTTTAATTAGTATTTTTCCTTTGCTACAACTACAAGTTTGTTCAGTCAAAAAATTCTACAAAGTCAGTCTTTAACTTTTCTACCTAGATTCTGATCAGACACAGGTATATTCACTAACTCTGGTAGAACTGCCAGATAATGCTAAACTTCCTGGATATTGGGCAACTCTGCATCAAAAAACTCACTTTAATATTATACGAATTACCATGCATTATAAAATAGTTGTAAACATGATTTTATCCACTGCTTGACATTGGACACTATCAGTAAGCTGAATGAAGATACAGAGACGCCAAAACACCTAATACTGGATGGAACAAGTGGGACTGCAACAACAGATCTCCAGCAGGATCCGGGCAAGTACTACTATGTGACCCTAAATAAGGTTTACTGAACCTAAAACAGCAGCAGATCTGGTTGAATGCCACAGACAGAATGCAGACTAGAATCTTTTATCAGAAAGCAAACAGCAACAGAGGAGTAGATAATAGCAATCACTGGAAGAGCAATTTAAAAAAAAAAAGCCTGACTGTATATTTTTATAAGTACCAAATTAAGTTTATTTATCCATGAACAGATTTTAAATCCACGGGCATTCAAATCAACAACTGAAGATTTTATACCCTCTTCTGATATCCTCTAGTGCTTAAGCTGATTTTAGGTCAAAAGTTTACTTGTTACTATTCTAACCCAAGCACTGAAACTGATTTCTGAACTCATGTGCATTAAACAAAAAAGACTTGCAGACATAAAAATATATAACAGCAGTAAAATGGCTCAAGTTGTTCTGAACTGGCAGACCATAATGCCTGTGGGGAGTCCCAATGAAATTAATGCTCTCTACTATTACATGCTCTAGGATCTATTTTGGGGAAGTTCATGGCCTGTGTTGTCCAAACTAGATGACCACAATGGTCCTTCTAGCCTTGGAATCTATGTATGTAATTAAAGATCAGGGTATCTTGCATGTATAAGAGCAATGGGCTGGTTTTTTTTGTTTTTGGGTTGTGTGGGGTTTTTTTTGTTTTTGTTTTAATTTTAAGTAACTCTGGATGTCTTGTCTCAAGAGGCCCACTGCAGGAGTCTAGGTGACCACACACAAAACTACTACTGCTCCAAGAGGCAATATTAAAAAAAGAAAGATATGTACAAAAGACCTTGACTTAGAAATTAATGAATGAGGCAGAGAAGCTGCTGAGTGGTTCACGTTCAAGTCTAGAAAAGCTCAATTTTCAATCTAGTCCTCAATGGCCCTTTAATACTTCTCTAGCACTTTACATACACACTTGGTACAACTGGCTGACTGCTCAGGAATGAATCAGGACTGATTTATATCACTCTGATTTAAATCAGCAAGCAGGAAACCTTATTTAAACCATCAATTTTAATTTTGTTTTGCATTTCTACTTTATTTTCCTAAAGAAAGGTTGGTTCTCTTTGATTGATACACCCACTAAAACATTTGCAGCTAAATACAGCCTTTATAATATATTTGGTACTTTTTGCCTAACCAGAAGATATAGTCTATCTATATGCATTTATATAACTAACATTTATTCAGATTCTTAATTTTTGCATTTATGTTAGAAAATGGTGAATGACATTTATTTAACTTTTTATATTAACACAGATTAACTTTTTACTTGTGATTTGTGTAACGATGCATTTGGATGGAACTTGTAATTAAAATGTGCAAGGAGTATTTAAAAACTGTTTTATTAGTTAAATAAAACTACCTTAAATGCACCGCATACATAAGAAAAAAGTTGATAAAACATGATTTGTATTTAAAACAGATTTATTTAAACTAAGGAAGGATTCTGTCCTTAGGGTATTTAACTCATGGTTACCTGAAACAACGTCCTCCTAGAGTTTAGAACTAGTAGATCTCTTCCTCACACACCGTTTTTATTCAGAGATCAGAATACTAAAACAAGCTTTCCTGCTTCTTCAGCTCCCAATAGGCTTCTCAACTTTGAATAAACTAGTCATTAAACTGAACTATTTGAACAAACTAAAATGAAGATAATATTCTCTCTGCAGCTGCAAAAGAGGTTACTACTTAGGGGGGAGGGATAGCTCAGTGGTTTGAGCATTGGCCTGCTAAACCGAGGGTTGTGAGTTCAATCCTTGAGGGGGCCATTTAGGGATCTGGGGCAAAAACTGGGGATCGGTCCTGCTTTGAGCAGGGGGTTGGACTAGATGACCTCCTGAGGTCCCTTTCAACCCTGATATTCTATGATTCTATACTGCCAAGAGGTGGCTTAGCACTATAACCAACTCTTGGTTCCAGATGCTTAGCCAGTGATTTCCCCACCAGTTCAGCAGCAAATATGTACTGCTTGATTTTTTTTATTTACATTTTAAGAAATTATAGAAAGTTTGTCAATTTCAAATTTAATTGTAAATAGTTTTAAAATAAAGATGTACTTAAATACAAATATCCAATAAAAATGATTTTCATCTATCCTAATCAGCACTGGAATGGCAGAGATACTACAGGGAAGGATTTAGCTCTCTGTGAGTATGTACAACTGTACAAAAAGCACAGTGCATGGCTGCCTTTTCTCTGGTTCTAGAATAATAACGCTATCAATTAATGGTCACTGCTGTTCACCCACAAAGCCTCATCTACACAACTTATAATTAAACAAAAAAAATTAGAAATTATAGTCAAAATAACTCTGATTTATAACATACAATAGCCTTGCTCTTAAGCTTAATATGAGACTTTGTAGGCTTGTGTAAAGCAAATTTGTGTCACTGCTGTGAAGCAGTCAGGAAGCTGGTTCAGATGCAACAAAATGCATCAAGAGAGACTAAGTAATGAGTCATCAGTATAAAAATTGTCATATTGTCTGAAGGCAGTAGATGAAGCAGCCCTTTCAATTAAGAACAACATTTTAACAGTCACCAGAATTTCCACCATTTACTAATTTGTAATCAAAACCTTGGGTACTATGAATGCATCCAGCCCAACTGAACTAGAGTAAGACTAGTCTGTTTCAAATTGTCAGTGTTTTTTAATTTTACATTAGTGATACAGAGTCATATCTTAGGCAAAGCACCATGCTGAAAGTGGCCTAATAATTTAATGCAGCATAGTACAGTACCAACATAAGCATGACAGCTTAAGCTGCATTTTGTTACAAAGGTAACAAAAGACAGAAAGAAAAGGAGTACTTGTGGCACCTTATAGACTAACAAATTTATTTGAGCATAAGCTTTCATGAGCTACAGCTCACTTCATAGCTCACGAAAGCTTAAGCTCAAATAAATGTTAGTCTCTAAGTTACCACAAGTACTCCTTTTCTTTTTCCGAATACAGACTAACACGGCTGCTACTCTGAAACTTGACATAAGACAGAGACCACCTTCTATGTTTTCAGTTGTTAGTGTTCTGATGTAGAAGATTTTGATACAAGAGGTTTGGTTTGGAAGACAGTTTAATACTTAGACCACTCAATTATATTCTTTAATTTTTTTTTTAAATTTCCTATAGCCAGACACGCAGAAAAAATAATCTGTCAGTGCCACATTTATTATTCGCATTGTATGTACTTACTAACTACACAACTTGCTAAATACACTCAGGAAAAATGGAGGGTGACAAACCTGGATGTAAGGAAATAATTCTGTTGAGTAGCAAATGTATCTCCATTTTATTGTATAAAGTGAATAGTGACTCAACCAGAAAGAACAAGCATCTTGCAATGTTAGCTAAAAGGTACGTATACTGGTCTATACAGACCAAGTTCTTTGGATGGACAAAAAAAAAAAATCTTTAAAAAAAATTTTAAGTAAAGATTATTTTTCCATTTCCCCCCATACTTTCAGCTACACGCCCATTACACAAACAAAATGCCTTCAGTTTCCTCAACTCCAACACAGTTAATTGACTAGAGGTGGGGTTTTTTTTGTTTTTTTAAGAGGCAGTTATTGGGCTCACCCAGTCATGAGAAAGTAGTTACATTAAAAGAAACAATCCAAATGCACAAACAGGAGACCATGCATTTGAGGAAACCTGTCCTCTTAACCAAATTTTACTTTCTAACTAAGTTAGTAGAAGCAATCATGCTCTCACTCCTCTGTGCATGTGCTACCATCCCCTCTTCAATTAGATTACTAAAATGCTAAACGGAAGTCAGAAGGAGATCGAACAACCACATACTTTAGCTAATAAATTACTAAATGTTTAGAAACCAGACAGACAGGTACCCAGAAAAAAAATGATCTCTTAACCCCCTTAAGACACGGCAAGCAACAAGTTTCCTGAGATATCAAGTATGGAATGGTTGTTATACCAAGGTAGAGCTGAACCCTTAGAGAAATCTAAGGATGATTTTAGCCTCATTCCTCCACCCACCAAATTCCAACCTGAAGCTGAAATCCAAGGATGCTCAGGATACAAAGATCAGGTGATCCACAACTGAAAGGCTAGTTTGATAGTACAGACGTTGGAGACAAAAGAGATTAGCTGTGGCAGAAGATATTTTTCCGCCGGGGGGGGTGGGGGGAGAAGAGAGAGAGTCCCTGCTACTGGGGGGATTCAGCCCCCTGTGCCGTTATTGTGGGTGAGAGAAAGGTTATCACCGCCCGCCTCACTGATAATTCTGCAGAGAGATTATTTGGCCTTTGGCAATCCCCGCCAGCCCGGCGGGTGCATCCCACATACCACCCTCCCCGGAGAACGTCCCCCAACCTGCCACCCGCCCCCCATTCCGTGTGCCCCTCACCCAGTCAGCACCCCAAAAGAGGGCCCGCTGCTTTCACCCCCCGCCCCCAGAAACCCCCCGGCTAAGGAGCGGGTCCCCCGGGCCACCGATCCCTCCCGCTCCGGCCCGGCCCGCACCTGGATGACCTCGTTGACCTCCCGGATACACTCCACCATGTGCTGCAGGATCTGCTCGGCCGTCAGCACCTCGTAGCGATAGTCCTCCTCCTGCTCGTGGCCGCCGCCGCCCCCGCCGGGGCCCGGCCCGCCGCCCAGCCCGCTGCCGCCGCCGGGGCCCAGCCCGCCCGTCTCCCCGCACAGCAGCCCGTCGCGCTCGCCTCCTACGCCCAGCCCGGGCTCCACCAGCTCCACCTCGCCCAGGTCCAGGTTATCGTCGTCGGGCTCGTCGTCCTCCTCGTCGTCGTCCTCGTCCTCCTCGGCGCCGCTGTCCTCGCTGCACTCCTCGTCCTCGTCGAACTCGTAGTTGTAGCCCTCGTCCGAGTCCATGGCGAGGCGGCGGCCCGGGGCTGCCCGCGCCGACCCTCCGCCCTCCCCCCGCGCGGGCTCCTGGCTGCTCCTGCGCCGCGGCCTGCCTCTGCCCGCGGGACAACAACACACAGCGCCGCCGCCGCCGCTGAGCCAACAAAGGGACGCGGCGGACCCGCTCCGTCACCGCGCGCCGCGGCACGCACGCACGCACGTTTGGCGGGGCTCTGCCGTGCGCGCTGTCACATCGCGGCCGCCATCTTGAGTGAGGCCAGAGGGGGTGGGGGTCTGGTCTTCCTCAGTGTTGCGACTGCCATCTTGGGCGTGGCATAGCTCTGGGTTTCCTTTCTCTTACGGCTGCCATCTTGGGTGTTGTTGTGGACATCTTGAGTGTGGCGAAAGGTCCTGCGACTAGTTTCTTCAGCGTTACGGACACCATCTTGGATGTGGCGAAACCCCGCCAAGCTTCTCATTATATCCGCCATGTTGAGTGTGGCCGCCTTTTTCTTTCCCCTCCCGCTGCACTGTCAGTCTTCTCGGTGTTGGTTCTAGGCAATGTCCACTGTGGAACCTAAGCAACTAAATCACCATTGGGTCCCTCTGTGTGCGGGTGGGGGCCCAGTTCAGGCTGTGTGATTCCATGTCAGGCACACACTGCCCAGCTCCACCAGCAAGATGCAGGGCCGCTTCACCTGCCGCCCCATCCCATAGCATATTGAGAGGGGTCAGCATAGGGATGGTTTATGGTAGGGATGGGAAGGCAGTGCTATGGGGGGATATGTAGAGGATTGGCATAGGGAGGGGCAGGTGGGATTTGGGGTTGGTGTAGGGATGGGTGGGTGGGATTTTAGCTGCAAGGTTGACATAGGAGTGGGTGGGTCAATGGGATTGGGGTGGGAAGCTGGCATAGCAATGGGTGGATGGGATTTGGGGTCGGAGGTTGGTGTATTTGCGGTAGGGGGTTGGCATAGGAATGAGTGGATGGGATTTGGGGTTGGCATAGGGATGGGTGGATGAGATTTGCGGTAGGGGGTTGGTGTAGGGATGAGTGGATGTGATTTGGGGTTAGCGTAGGGATGGGATTTTGGATTGGGAGCTGTTTGGAGTAGGGATGGTGTAATTTGGGATAGGAATGGGTGGATGGTATATGCAACATTGACTCAGTTTCAAGTACTTGTGGCACCTTAGAGACTAACCAATTTATTTGAGCATAAGCTTTCGTGAGCTACAGCTCACTTCATCGGATGCATACTGTGGAAAGTGTAGAAGATCTTATTATATACACACAAAGCATGAAAAAATACCTCCTCCCACCCCACTCTCCTGCTGGTAATAGCTTATCTAAAGTGATCACTCTCCTTACAATGTGTATGATAATCAAGTTGGGCCATTTCCAGCACAAATCCAGGTTTTCTCACCCCCCACACACACACAAAGGGGGGGTGAGAAAACCTGGATTTGTGCTGGAAATGGCCCAACTTGATTATCATACACATTGTAAGGAGAGTGATCACTTTAGATAAGCTATTACCAGCAGGAGAGTGGGGTGGGAGGAGGTATTTTTTCATGCTTTGTGTGTATATAATAAGATCTTCTACACTTTCCACAGTATGCATCCGATGAAGTGAGCTGTAGCTCACGAAAGCTTATGCTCAAATAAATTGGTTAGTCTCTAAGGTGCCACAAGTACTCCTTTTCTTTTTGCGAATACAGACTAATACGGCTGTTACTCTGAAACCTGTCAGTTTCAAGTGAAATTCATGCTTTTCAGAAATACCAGCAGCCCATAGGTATGAATTACAGTCCCATTTCTAACTGGAGAAGGTACTGAAAAATGTGATTCCATGTCAGGCACACGCTGATTTCTCAGTGCAGCAGGGAAATGGCGTCAATTTAAGTAAATCGGTGATGACAATCTATCAGACTGCTTTGCTGCCCACTGACTGCTGGGGTTCCAAACATCTTTAAAAAGCAAACATATGTTAACATAAATGCCTTTAGTGTATATTTGCATAGTAATCTCATGTCAATAGAGCAAATGCCTATAATACTGTGTCAATTTTGATTAAATAGAAATGACAGATAATATACTGTATTTTATGAGTTGAAAGTAAAAGTATTAATGACATAAAATCAGGGTTACCATAAATCCTTTGAAAACATTTCTCAAGGCAAAACTTCCTGCGGGGGCATGATACATACATTTGACAACATTCCATCTCTGCGTTATATAGGAGGAGGAGATGGAGGGGTGCCACAAATATGATATGGAACTAGAGAACCACCATGTTTTTCTGCTTCACACCCTGGCTCCTGCTTGCCTAAAGGCCCAATCCTACAAACACTTACTCACAGGCTTAACTCTGTGTATGAGCAGTACCTTTGATTTCAGCAGCACTACTCCTGTATGAAAAGTTAAGCATGTGCATGTTTGCAGGATTGGAATTAAATTAGGAACCTCCATTCACTCCTATCAGCATCATGTATTTGCAAAGACATGTGCTGCACCATGCAGGATGCAATCCTGTTGAAAAGTGGGTGGAGCAAAGTCTGACACCCCAAAATGATTTGTTATACCACATGAATGCCAAACTGAGGAAGGAGGAATGTTTTGCAGTTACAGCACAGAACTGGGAGTCAAGAGGTCAGGGCTCTGCTCCCATCTGTCACAGATTACCTAGGTCTGACTATACTAGGCCTAAAAGCACTGTACAGTACTAAAAACCTGACCTGGAATGCCTTACGTTTGCTACACATGTGCAATACCATGTAGTCACACACAACAGCAGTCCCAGGCATTTTATGAGCATATGGTTGTGATACCTGGGACAAAGCCTTTAGCTCAAAGCCAGCTGAACTTGTGCAGTCTCCACTGATGTCTTCTCGTTGTGAAGTGTAAGCCACTAATGTTTCAAAAAATTCACTGGTCCTCCCAGTCCTCTTAATGATGTCATGCAATGCAGCCCCTCACAGACACAGAAAATGGCTAGGATGATATAGTTGGGGTTGGTCTTGCTTTGAGCAGGGGGTTGGACTAGATGACTTCCTGAGGTCTCTTCCAACCCTAATCTTCTATGATCCCACTCCCCCCCTCCACCTCCAGCTCATCACTAACTTTCAGGGGAGAGCTCATGCAGACCTTACTTACAAACCATAATTTGAAATTACTAGGTTGGCCAATATCGCCAAAATGAATGTGCTGATATTGTCATAAAAAAACGCAAAGCCGTGTGAGGAAGCTAGTCTTTGTTCATACTTTTCAAAGCTATTATGGTTTCTCAGGTACTAGTATTTTATCATATACTGTATATGCTTTTAAAGTGTGTATTAATGTTTCAATTTCAATTCAAATTTCCAACCAGCAACTAAATTGTAGTTGACCATCTGGAGTGCGGGGGTGATGGGGAAATTCAGGGGGCTTGTAGGGAAATCTCTCCCTTGGGGAGTCGTTTATATCTGTGCCAAATGGCTACATTCTGATTTGCAAGCATGAGATGCCCACTGAGTATAAATGACTGCAGAATCATAGGATTGGAAGGGACCTTGAGAGGTCATCTCTTCCAGTCCCCTGCACTCATGGCAGGACTAAGTATTATCTAGACCATTCCTGACAGGTGTTTGTCCAACCTGCTCTTAAAAATCTCCAGTGATGGAGATTCCACAACCTCCCTAGGTAAATTAGGTGCAGAGCAAAAGAGAACCAGGTTCATTTGGTGCAGCATAGTGTGTCTTGTAAGTTCCTTGGGGGCAGGGACTGGCTTTTTGTTCTGTGTTTGTCCAGCACCTAGCACAATGGTGTCCTGATCCATGACTGGCGCTCCTAGGTGCTACCACAATATAAATAAATAAATTAATTAATTAATTAATATCTTGCCTAATAAGCTACAGTGCTTGCAAGCAATTGATAGCTGATTTTATAAAGCTAGCTCCCGGGGGCCGAGTTAAGCTTGCGTGGACATTTCCTTAACTCTGTATTTCCTGCTTTTCAGAGGTTTTAATTTTGCTGAACTCAGTGTTCTGGAAGGGTGTGGATTATCACCAGGCAGCCTTGCCACTGCATTAACAACATTTTTTCTATTTAATATTCTAAGGCTAGATTGTCAAAGGTATTTAGGAGCCTAAAGATGCAGGTGCACAGTGGGATTTTCAAAGCGCCAAAGCAGACCCAACTCCCATTGACTGCTTGGCACTTTTGAAAACCCTCCTATATGCCTGTTTCTTTCCTTAGGTGCCTAAGAACTTTTGAAACTCTGGCCCTAGGTGTTTGACACCATTCAAACACTGCACTAATTTATGGGCAGAACTGTCTAATGCCCTCACAATACAGCAACCCCCTTCCCCTCAAGTAATCATAATTTTCAGGCTAGAAGGCACCATTATGATCACCTAGCCTCACCTTCTGCATCACACAGGCCAGAGAATTTTAGCCAGGCAAACAACTTAACCAAGGTCATATAGCAAGTTAGTGGTCAAACTGGGAATAGAATTCAGGCTTTCTGCAGCTATCTAGGCACTAGAGACCACACTGCTTACCCAAAACCCTGTATCATGCACCACTGGGATTTGAACCCAGACCCTTCTGGTTTGTAGGCAGCTGCCTTAACCAGCTAAACTACAGTGCTCTGTTATTAACCCCTCTCAGACCCTCCATAGCCCCACCCCAACAGTTCATGCTCTCATCACCCTTCCTAAATGTCTGGGAAGAGGGGTGAGGAAGGTCACCAGATTTAGGCTGTGCTCAGGTGGATCAAAGGTGGAGTGACTTCCACAGGCAAGGACCCTCCTGGGAAACAAGGGTTCGGACAGAAGGGACTCCAGCTCAGCTGCCTCCACCCATCACAATTGCAGCTGCGCAACACAGGGGCTGGCTTCTTCTGTTAGCAAGTGTTGGATGCCTGCAGGAAGATGGTAACTCAGCTCTGGGGTCTCACTGTGGCAGGAGTAGCTTCTTATCTCCACCCTGTACATAAGGGCTTGATCCTATGAGGAGTTGGACACCTTAAATTCCCACTGAAGTAAACAGAAGTTACAGAATCATAGGACTGGAAGGGACTTTGAGAGGTCATCTAGTCCAGGCCCCTGCACTCATGGCAGGACTAAGCATTATCTAGACCATCCCTGACAGGTGTTTGTCCAACCTGCTCTTAAAAATCTTCAATGATGGAGATTCC